TACCCTCACCCACCTTCCCACACCACTCTGTTATACCTTCATTCACATCCCAACATCACTCTGTTATACCCTCACCCATCTCCCCACACCACTCTGTTATACCTTCACCCACCTCCCTACACCACTCTGTTATACCCTTACCCACCTCCCCACACCACTCTGTTATACCCTTACCCACCTCCCCATACCACTCTATCATACCCTCAACCACCTCCCCACATCACGCAGAGTTATACCCATACATGTACCTCTCGGCATAACACCATTATACCCTCACCCATCTATCCACGCCACTCTTTTTTTACCCCAATCCACCTACCAACAACACACTGTTATACCCCCATCTACCTACCAACAACACATTGTTATACCCCCATCTACCTACCAACAACACATTGTTATACCCCCATCTACCTACCAACAACACACTGTTATACCCCCATCTACCTACCAACAACACACTGTTATACCCCCATCTACCTACCAACAACACACTGTTATACCCCCATCTACCTACCAACAACACACTGTTATACCCCCATCTACCTACCAACAACACACTGTTATACCCCCATCTACCTACCAACAACACACTGTTATACCCCATCTACCTACCAACAACACACTGTTATACCCCATCTACCCACCAACAACACACTGTTATACCCCCATCTACCTACCAACAACACACTGTTATACCCCCATCTACCTACCAACAACACACTGTTATACCCCCATCTACCTACCAACAACACACTGTTATACCCCCATCTACCTACCAACAACACACTGTTATACCCCCATCTACCCACCAACAACACACTGTTATACCACCATCTTCCCACCAACAACACACTGTTATACCCCCATCTACCTACCAACAACACACTGTTATACCCCCATCTACCCACCAACAACACACTGTTATACCCCCATCTACCCACCAACAACACACTGTTATACCCCCATCTACCCACCAACAACACACTGTTATACCCCCATCTACCCACCAACAACACACTGTTATACCCCCATCTACCCACCAACAACACACTGTTATACCCCCATCTACCTACCAACAACACACTGTTATACCCCATCTACCTACCAACAACACACTGTTATACCCCATCTACCCACCAACAACATACTCTTATACCCCATCCACCTACCAACAACATACTGTTATACCCCCATCTACCTACCAACAACACACTGTTATACCACCAACATACTGTTATACCCCCATCTACCTACCAACAACACACTGTTATACCCCAACAACATACTGTTATACCCCCATCTACCTACCAACAACACACTGTTATACCCCATCCACCTACCAACAACATACTGTTATACCCCCATCTACCTACCAACAACACACTGTTATACCCCATCCACCTACCAACAACATACTGTTATACCCCCATCTACCTACCAACAACACACTGTTATACCCCCATCTACCTACCAACAACACACTGTTATACCCCCATCTACCTACCAACAACATACTCTTATACCCCATCCACCTACCAACAACACACTGTTATACCCCCATCTACCTACCAACAACACACTGTTATACCCCATCCACCTACCAACAACATACTGTTATACCCCCATCTACCTACCAACAACACACTGTTATACCCCATCCACCTACCAACAACACAGTTATACCCCATCCACCTACCAACAACACACTGTTATACCCCAATCCACCTACCAACAACACACTGTTATACCCCATCCACCTACCAACAACACACTGTTATACCCCCATCTACCCACCAACAACATACTGTTATACCCCCATCTACCCACCAACAACACACTGTTATACCCCCATCTACCCACCAACAACACACTGTAATACCCCCATCTACCCACCAACAACATACTGTTATACCCCCATCTACCCACCAACAACACACTGTTATACCCCCATCTACCCACCAACAACATACTGTTATACCCCCATCTACCCACCAACAACACACTGTTATACCCCCATCTACCCACCAACAACACACTGTTATACCCCCATCTACCTACCAACAACACACTGTAATACCCCCATCTACCAACCAACAGTATACCGTTATACCCCCATCCACCTACCAACAACATACTGTTACACCCTCATCTACCTACCAACAACACACTGTTATACCCACACTTGTGGTCGCTAACACGGTTCTGTTCGACGGAACCAGTCTGATGATACAATATGACTCAGTATTTCAGACTTAGTAATTAGACTTTTTGACAATGTGATGTTGTTTCTACCTACATACCTACCCCGTATACCTTTGGTTAAAACTGAATCTCTGTTGGTCCATACAAAAATATATGACTGGCCCTTCGTGAAGTAACTCCCCTGCATTGTCAGACGGGGAAAAACTGACAAGACAATTCTCGAGCTCTTCAAAATTTCTCCGTTACGACGTCGCAGAAAGCAATAAAGAAAATCTATTCTCATTTACAACTGTCCTAAGTATATATTTTATGTATAGAAACTTCAGTCGAACTTTCGTGGTCTTTTTCACACATATACTTCAATACAGTATGACTAAACTAAAAATCTCTGACGCCTGATGTCAGGCTAATGTGACTACTGTTGTGTGAATTATCTGTTTAAATAATCTCTTATCACTTATTTAAAGTAATGTACTGTCCTTTCTTTAAGGTATTCAGACATGAAAAAAACGCAATGAGTATCTTAATATCCAGTAAATAAATTAAAACCAGAAAAGGTATATATATACTTAGAGGTCAACTTCGAGTTAACGGACAAGTGTAGAATTTCTGGTGACGACTGTTTGGTATGTTGATTTGAAGCAATAAATATTCGACTCGATTTGATCTTTCAACACTGAAGACAAGCAAGGGCGGTTCTATTTGATGTTAACACAGTAATTGAGAATATAATGATTTTAATTTATTTCTTAAGGCAAATAGATAGATATATTATTGATTTCTTAAAATTGAATTGTGGTTGTAAGTTTGTCTACATTAATAAATTGTTTAAACTATATTTTGTATACAGTTATAACCTACTGTCTAGAAGTTAAAGATGAATTTGGTGACAGAACCCATTATATAGGAGTTTTGGACGGGCCTGATATACGCAGAAACAAGTTGGTCTATTGTTGAAACACTGATAATCTTGCCACTATATCGAATTCTGTAAAACAAGCCAGGGAATAGATAAATCTATTTTATAAATAACATCAAATTACGTTTGAAAATTTTCGACTCTGATATCCGATTCATCGTTGCCCTAAGAGATAACAGATTCTGTTTATTCTCTATACGATATTTGTAAAAATTAAATGACGAAAAAAATATTTCACAAATGAAGCTGACAGGTCCATAGACCGCTATATTGAGAATTACTTTACAAAAATCTTGAAAAGTACTTAAATGGATTGTGTGTTGATCTACTTAAACAACGGGTAAATTTCTTTTAAAATTTAAATTCTAGTTTTTATTATTTTTTTCTTCTAATTCTGGTCTCGCTGTCAGACGTCGATAATAGGTTTAAATGAAACAAAGCTACGTTTGATTCCGGTTTTTAAATACATCATGATTAATAATTATTATAAAACCACAATAAAGAAACAAATATTAATAGGAATTAGCTTTTCGATTACAACATCCAGGTTGTACACCGCAGTGCAGACTACCAGTCGGCGAGTTAGCTCGGCGCCGTTTTCAATAACTTTTGCTTACGTATCGACGAAGGTTCATCGCGGACTCGCAATCAGTTTAAATAGAGGAAAAACCTTGTCCAAATACGGGCTCTTATGATCTTTTTGTTCATGAACCAGACTTATCAATTAAGAAAAATGACATTTTTCATATTTTTTGTTTGATATAAGACATATTTATGTATGGTATAAGTTTGTGGGTATTTTTTACACCGTAAATTGAAGTTATCAATCAAATTGATCAGTAAAATAGAGGCAGTATGTTCTGATAGGAGACTACATTTTATGATAAAGTTAATTGATTAATGACAACTAGGATTTTGAAACTAATTGACAAATTGGAAGAAATTAATTTCGATATGTCGTTTTTGTAAATAATTTATTTTGTCAGCCTTTTCCCAGACGCGCTGCCTTATTTTCAGTTAGACGTCGCCACCACTTCGCCGCAATATTTCATTAATGTCTATTAAATTAAACTTTTCCGTTCGTTTTCATTCGGGAGATTACAAGTGTCTATTATTCAAGCTTATTTTGCGGGTGGTGTGGAATATAAAAAATATGTACAGAGAGGAGACAACATGTATAGAACTATAAGTCAAGGAAGATCATATTTTGAATTAAATCTTTACTAAACTGACTGAGTCGGGATTTGCTTCATGAGAATGAAGTATGGCATACTATGTAAGTTACAAACATCTTTAAAAAAGCAAATAAAGAAACTCAAAATCGCGATTTTGAATATTTTTTTTTCAAATCGCGTATTTTTTCCCAAATGCGTTGTAATATACGGTTTCATTGTATTGATGTTGATAAGAAAATCATTATCTAATTTAAATATTTTCGTAAGATGTTTTGTCTTTGCATCATCGTGAAGTTGTTTGGTACATGTATAGTGGTTATATCCTGTATCCGTCCGTCCATTTGTCCGTCCCCGTTTAACATGTATTTGAATTGAGTAAAAGGTTAACTGTTATGTTACACCTGATTAAATTTGGTGGTCAATCTTACTTGTCGAGGTTCAGCGATAAAAAATTTACCCTTGACCACCTATGAAATTTTAAGCTCGCGTGCAGGTTATTTCAAGAACGCCTCATAGAAATTAATTCTTATTTAATCAACGGTACTTTAAAATGAAATTCTTCAACTCTATAAATTTCAGTGGTCATCGCCCTAAAAGATAAAACGTTATAGCTGTCCCTTTTTGGAATTTTAAGATCGCGAAGAGGATAGGTTTAGCAAGCAAAACCTTTGAATTTCGAAATATACTAGTTGTTTTCCTACCTTGCAAGAGTATTCCGTACATGGATCTGTTTTGTCCGTCCATAAAGAATTGCTGGAGTAATATTCTCCGTCCACGGTACATCCTTTACACACTTCGCAGCACTTCCGGTGACCGCTTAGTAGGTAATCATACAAGATCATATAGCAGCCTTCCAAACTCTGACATTTCTCACGTCTACACTGTACGCTGCCATTCTGGAAACAAAAATAAATAAAAAGTTTTAAAAATCAGCATGTGACGACAGTGTAGGACATCGAAATAGGCACAAGATCGATATAAGATATCGATAATTAACGTCATCGATCTTTATATGTTTAATTTATTCCATCATCTTCTCATAAAACTAACATTGATTGATTGATTGATTAATTGATTGTTTTATTGATTGATTGATTGAAACATTCATTCATCCATCAAATATTCAATATTCATTAATTCATTCATTTGTTCCTTCGTTCGTTTGTCCTCCCTTTCACTCTTCAAATCAGCTAGGATCCATTCACTCATTCATTCATTCATTCATTCAACATGCATATAATTTTCCCTTTATCTTTTTCGATTTATCCGTTAACAAATCCGTTACACTATTAACCCAAACCCCCATGTCCTTAACACATTTAGACCTACATAATGTGGATTCAACTATGAAGATCTCTTTATAGCTAACTTTCCAACATCTGCAGTACACGAACCTCCCAGCATGCACCAGTATTCGTGCGCTATTAAACAGCCCCGAGAGCGCAGCTGCACACTAGGAGGTAGAACACGATAACATATCTAGTGGTATAATCTAGAATATATGCACTGATCATTCTTTAGGTTATGAATTGTATATTTCTTTCAACGTTGTTTCGTTTAAGAGAGATAATTCCTTATCAAAAAATTCAACATTGTACGTTCTGATGGTATTTTGGCCTAGTACCCGTACAGCTGGACAAATATCAAAGTTAGAAATAGGATTATGTTAACTCATACCGTTATTTATCGAAAATGTGCAGGTCGTATATGTTGCATTGGGTATATTTAAAACTGAATGTTTGCACGATGTTTTATAAAATACTTAGAAGTTCATCACTCATATTTTGCCGTCATGTCTGTCACTGTTTGTGTTTTATTAGTGGCATTGAAGTATCGCAGACAGACATATGTCGAGAGGGCGAAAGCATCAATCATAAAACATTTAGAAATCATCATTATAGTGGCAGATATATTTAGTACATAATAGGTACATCATATCATTACGTGTATCTTCTTGTGAAGTAAGTAAAACAAACAGAAAAGATGCTTCCCAAGGGATGCTTACTTGAATTCGTCGCAAATATAGATCCATTATATTAGCATCATAAGATCTCATATTAATTGATTGATAAAACAATTAAGTATATCGAACAGCTTTTCGTTAAACATTTCTTGCTCTTGGTGATGTCACGCAAAAATATATTGTCAATTTGAATCAAAAAAGTTATTAGACTTGGTGCAAACATCTCCGATAATTCGCAGCACAATAAGATAATTTCGTCGAGGTGAATTACGACCTAGAATATTACATAGTATTCAAAGCAAAATTATAGACAATTTAATAATAAAAAACCCCACTGTCTCCAGGGGCCGTTATAATTCTATGTCAATCCTAAGAACGTACAAATCCGCTGGCATCAAAAATACCAAAGCTAATCTTCGGCATTGTACTCTATCTAATATTCATGTGGAGCAACGCTGCATGCAGCAATGTAAACTGTTGATATCGGTAATAAGAAGCACTTTTTGTTAGCAATCCGAGGGGAATGTTAATTGATCGAGGCCAATGGGTACTAAGTATGGATTAGAGAAGCAGATGTTTTGGGTTTCGTTTCAAATCTCAGGGCGTTATTATGTAATCTCCGAACACGAGTGCGGGTAATAAAATCCGGAAATTTTGATGACGTTTTAAGCTGGACATAGTATCACATTGAGTGGATCACAATGATGCGAGTCATTGCTGATTACCTTTATAAGAACTATAATATATTTTACGTTAAAATTCCTGTTTTAAATTTCAATACACTGCAAAACACACTGACAGCTACGAGCGGCACAGGTGCAAATATTGTATAACGAGTCATTGTGGACAAATATTTTATGGGCAGACACAATGGACTGTTTTGGAATAAAATAAAACGATTTCACGTTTTTCAGTCTGTCTTTCTTTAATCTGATTTCAACGTTTAAGAAAAACAACAAAAATAATATGTATTTGATAATAAGATAGTGTTGTAATGTCCATCTCCGACTTTATACCTGTAACTTTATACCTGTAACTCTACCGGTAAGTTACATCTCCGACTTTATACCTGTAACTACCGATAAGTTACATCTCCGACTTTATACCTGTAACTACCGATAAGTTACATCTCCGACTTTATACCTGTAACTACCGATAAGTTACATCACCGACTTTATACCTGTAACTACCGATAAGTTACATACCTGTAACTACCGATAAGACACATCACCGACTTTATACCTGTAACTACCGATAAGACACATCACCGACTTTATACCTGTAACTCTGCCGATAAGTTACATCACCGACTTTATACCTGTAACTCTGCCGATAAGTTACATCACCGACTTTATACCTGTAACTCTGCCGATAAGTTACATCACCGACTTTATACCTGTAACTACCGATAAGTTACATCACCGACTTTATACCTGTAACTACCGATAAGTTACATCACCGACTTTATACCTGTAACTACCGATAAGACACATCACCGACTTTATACCTGTAACTGTACCGATAAGTTACATGTCCGACTTTATACCTGTAACTCTACCGATATGTTACATCTCCGACTTTATACCTGTAACTACCGATAAGTTACATCTCCGACTTTATACCTGTAACTACCGATAAGTTACATCTCCGACTTTATACCTGTAACTACCGATAAGTTACATCTCCGACTTTATACCTGTAACTACCGATAAGACACATCACCGACTTTATACCTGTAACTACCGATAAGACACATCACCGACTTTATACCTGTAACTACCGATAAGACACATCACCGACTTTATACCTGTAACTCTGCCGATAAGTTAAATATCCGACTTTATACCTGTAACTACAGATAAGTTAAATATCCGACTTTATACCTGTAACTCTGCCGATAAGTTACATCACCGACTTTATACCTGTAACTCTGCCGATAAGTTACATCACCGACTTTATACCTGTAACTCTGCCGATAAGTTACATCTCCGACTTTATACCTGTAACTACCGATAAGACACATCACCGACTTTATACCTGTAACTACCGATAAGTTACATCTCCGACTTTATACCTGTAACTACCGATAAGTTACATATCCGACTTTATACCTGTAACTACCGATAAGTTACATATCCGACTTTATACCTGTAACTACCGATAAGACACATCACCGACTTTATACCTGTAACTACCGATAAGACACATCACCGACTTTATACCTGTAACTACCGATAAGACACATCACCGACTTTATACCTGTAACTACCGATAAGTTACATCACTTTATACCTGTAACTACCGATAAGACTTTATACCTGTACATAAGACACATCACCGACTTTATACCTGTAACTACCGATAAGACACATCACCGACTTTATACCTGTAACTACCGATAAGTTACATCACCGACTTTATACCTGTAACTACTGCCATCACCGATAAGTTACATCATCACCGACTTTATACCTGTAACTACCGATAAGTTACATCACTTTATACCTGTACTTTATACCTGTAACTACCGATAAGTTACATCACCGACTTTATACCTGTAACTACCGATAAGTTACATCACCGACTTTATACCTGTAACTACCGATAAGACACATCACCGACTTTATACCTGTAACTACCGATAAGTTACATCACCGACTTTATACCTGTAACTACCGATAAGTTACATCTCCGACTTTATACCTGTAACTACCGATAAGACACATCACCGACTTTATACCTGTAACTACCGATAAGTTACATCACCGACTTTATACCTGTAACTACCGATAAGTTACATCACCGACTTTATACCTGTAACTACCGATAAGACACATCACCGACTTTATACCTGTAACTACCGATAAGACACATCACCGACTTTATACCTGTAACTACCGATAACACACATCACCGACTTTATACCTGTAACTACCGATAAGACACATCACCGACTTTATACCTGTAACTACCGATAAGACACATCACCGACTTTATACCTGTAACTACCGATAAGACACATCACCGACTTTATACCTGTAACTACCGATAAGACACATCACCGACTTTATACCTGTAACTACCGATAAGACACATCACCGACTTTATACCTGTAACTACCGATAAGACACATCACCGACTTTATACCTGTAACTACCGATAAGTTACATCTCCGACTTTATACCTGTAACTACCGATAAGACACATCACCGACTTTATACCTGTAACTACCGATAAGTTACATCTCCGACTTTATACCTGTAACTACCGATAAGACACATCACCGACTTTATACCTGTAACTACCGATAAGACACATCACCGACTTTATACCTGTAACTACCGATAAGACACTTATATTGCTGAAATGTTTTATTCTGAATGATTTATAATAAGACATTATTTTCATTTGGTATGCATAATACGTTTTCTGTAAGTGTCCTCTCTTCTTGTATAAATCCTTCGCCTGTGATCCCTCCGATACAGAGGAACGTTTAATACCTGTAACGCTATTTCCGTTTCGTTTCAATTATCGTCTGCCTACTCATTTATCAGTAAATAAAATAACACAAGATTTTCCTTCTCAAATTGATAATAGGCAAACTGTATTTCATGTGTGTACTACTTCATATTACACAAAATACCTGACATTTAATTGGTGTTTTAGAAATATTTACAACCTATTTATTTGTTAAATGTCGCCGTCTTTGAAAAAAATATATAAAATTATCACACAAGCCATATAACCTTTACAGAATCAAAAATATGATCTTTAAAAAGAAGTCGATAGATTCTTAACATAGCAGGTAAATTTGACATCTGACCTCTCTCTCAGTAAATCTGCAGCCCCGGACGGAGACGTTTCCTTACGAACTGGAGCCAGCCCCCAAGTGTTCAATGTTTTAACAACTTCGCAAAATATTTATATGTAATT